CGTGGCGAGGGGCAGGCCGCGCGCTCGAGGGCGCCGCGCGGCGGTCGCAGGCCCGCGCGCCCCCGCCCCCGCCGGCCGCGGCTGAGCTAGCGCGGAGGCCGGCGCCCCGCTGCTCCCCGGCCAGATGGCGCGTCCTTCCTGCCTAGGCGGAGCGAGAGCATCATCGCCAGCATCGGTTCCATCGCTCCAGCTCCCGCGGTGCCCGCTTTTGAAGTGCACGTGCGAAGCCAGGTCGCTCATTGCTGCACATCAAGCGCATGTGCAGGAAGTGTGTGTGCCCGGCCCCAGCGGTGCCGTGCAGTCCGCCCCCGGCACAGACGCGTTTCTCTGCCACATGCCAACGTGGCTCTTCATTCACCAGGCGCGGTCCCGTTCTTTGTGGGGACGCGCACCTCTGCCTCGCCACCAACTGTGCACGGCCGCCCGTGCACACAGGCCTGGGACTGCAAGCCCTCTGTTCGCAACACAACTGCAGCTGCAGACCTCCACCTGGACCGAATGGCAGGCTCTGCACCCGAGACAAAGCAGATGGCGCACTGGAGCAGCAAATTATTCTACATGGAAGAACACACCGGAGACAATTCCCCGCATTTTTCAAATGCAGCAAAGAAACAACATCAGGGAGAAGACGAGAAGGAGTGCTCTGAAAAGCAAACCGCACGTGTTCCAAGGAGGCGTGATGCCACAGTGATGGGGAATTCGATTTCCTTATCACCTGTTGGGAGACCTGCTGGCAGTTCTGCCAACAATGGCCACTCCAAGACGTTCCTAACCTGCGTTGCTGGTAACTTGCTCCTACATGAAGTGCAGCAGCACTCCTTGACGTGACTGTAACCACCAGGGAAGGGGCAGGTGTGGGAGCTCTGGAGGAATAATGGCCTAGTGGAGCCAAGAACCTACTCTGGATTTTGAGCAGGGCAACTTCCATAAACTCGGAACAAGTGTCACCCCTTTGGCTCACGGCCTCTGGCTGAAGCCGAAGCGATTTCCGGGCAGGGCTGGAGGACGGCCTGCCGGAAAGGCCGGTTGCTTCCCTGCTCTCTGTCGCGGGGCGTTCAGAAACCCTCTGCCACTGTCTTTGAGGCACAGCACCCAGCGAAGCTTCCTGCCAGCAGCGAGGGGGGCGATCTGAGGCTGGGGCAAAGGCACGGCTGATGCTGCACGTGCAGGGCAGGGCGCTGGCGGCACTTCCGCTGCGCCGGTACCTGTGCTTTCGCGCGCCGCGCCTCGTCCAGGCAGCGCAGCAGGTGCTGCTTCTCTGTACTCAGCTGGTCAAGGCGCCGCTGCTTGTCTCGCAGGCTCCGGGTCAGCTCCTGGATCCTCCTGCGGAAGGAGAGTGCCTGGTTATCTTGGCAGCAGCGGGGCTGCCTGGCAGGGCGGCCGTCTGGCACGGCTGCATTCTGCACAGGCAGGTGGAGCAGTTCAGCCATCCCAGAACTAGCCACCTGCAGGCCTGCCTTCTCTGTAGCAAAACACAAAACCGGCAAGCACAAGGAAGGAGAAATGTTCTTACAGCTGCGGGGCCCCATATCAAGCCTATGCAAAGCAATGGAAATAAGGTTTGTACAGGCCAGTTCAGAAATGCAGAATCTTTCCCTGAACTGGACAGAAGATTTCGCTTTGAGGGGGCGGGTAGCACACAAATCAGATCAGTGTAAGAAAACCGCAGATACGCACATGTCCTTCTCTGCCAAAGCGACACTGCAGGTTTCCAAGCGAGCCTGTTCTTTTCTGGCCTCATCCTCCTTCTTAGAGAACTCCACCAGCTGCTTCTGCAGCTCCTTGCAGCGCTCCTTCTCCGCCTCGGCCAGAGTGCCCATCTTCTCTGCTGCGACCTTTGCGGACTGGGCCTCCTAGGACAGAACCAGAGGTGAGGCCGGCCAGCGGCTTGGCTCCAGAGTTCTTACGTGAGGGGAACTGGCTGCCACTCGTGGGGTCGTCATGGCTGGGATTCGGCCTTGCGGAAGCGGGCACGGGGTTCTGGGACAGTGCGCGAAGACCATGTGGCATGCAGCCAACTGCTTCCCCACTCGCTGCTGCCGGCAGCCATGGCAGGCATGGCAGAGTAGTGCTGCTCATGCCCCGCATGGGGCTTGATTCCTGGCGAGCACCCGCCCTGCACGCCCTTGCCAGGAGCTCGGACTTGGCCACGGCGAAGCAGGTGGAGTCCAGGAAGCTCAGCCCAAGACGTCTGTGGCAGCAGACGTCCTGCTCAGAGCGGCTTCCTCGTGCATCCCTGCCTGGCAGCCACATTGTACAGAGGCTCTGCACAGTCTCCAAGGGCGGCCCCACACAGAGTGCGTTGCAGCAGTCTAGCACAGCAGTCACCAGAGCTTAGATTAGTGACATGGGGCTTTTCCCATCCAGAGAGGCAAACAGCCGGGCAGAAGGCATTCTGTGCCACCGAGGTCCCCTGGGCCGCAAGCGACAGAGATGGTGCGAGGAGTGCCCCCCAAGCCATGAACCTAATCCTTCCAGAGCAGCCTGACCCCACCCAGAAAAGCTGAATTCCTTCCCTCAGCCCCAAAAGCAGCTTCACAGTGTTGTCTGAACGAAGCTTCAGCTTGCCGGCCGTGGAGTGGTAGAAACGTCCAGACAAGGGGAAAGGAACCGGCCCCGGCCTCCCTCGGCTCTCCCACAGCGCCGCCCCGTCTTCCCCAGGAGCCTCACACTAGTCTGCAGGCAAAGCCCGCCTGTTTGCGTGGCCGGCCCGTCCGCTCACCTCCTGCAGCAGAAGCGCCTTCTTCTCAAGGGCCGCGCAGGCACCTGCGTCCCTTCGCTCATGGCTGCTCTCGGCCTCATTCTGACGGCCCGGGTTCTCCGCCGACGACCTGGAATTGGCAGTGGAAGCGGGAGGGCCTGCTAGGGCTGGTGCACGGGACAGCGGTGCCTCTTGCGATCTGCTGCAGGGCATGCCTGCTGGTGACCAGCAGCGGCTGAGCGCTGTCTGGGCGTGCAGAGAATCCCGAGTTCAGGTCCTGGCATCTCTGAGGAAAAGGGCCCCAGGAAGCAGGAGGAGGAGGCCTCAGCATGAGCGGCATCGTGAGCTGCGGCCGGTCAGGCCAGGTCGGGGCAGAATGACTGTCCAGCACGGGGGAACCGCACGTGCCCAGAGGGGGTCCATCCAGCACAGGGCAAATCCATGGGCTGGTGTGTGGGCCAGCTTTCTTTTGCCCAGGGGTCCCTGGAGGGGACTCGACAAGCTGCATGGCCTGCCCGTCCAGCGTGAATCCCACTCGTTTCGGTAGGTCCACCCTAGCTAGAGCCAAGACTCGATACAACGGTTTTCTTGCGAGCGTGTCATGAGAACAGTTTTCCCCTGCCAGGGCGTGGGGTGTATTTCGGGAAGCATTACGCATGGTGGAATTTATAGCTCAGTCCTAACTGTGGATGCTCAGGAGGACATTCCATTCATGTGACTGAGAGTCACTTTCATGCCACCCCAAAGGGAGCTCGCTCGGCAGGAGGCCCCACTCGGTCTGGTGCGGCGATGCCACACGGGACCTCCACAGCCCGGCTGAAAGTGCGGTGCAGCATTTTGAACCGGCAACATAGATCACACATGAGTTAGTGCTCTGGATATCAATTGCCGTTCGCGCAGAGCTAAACAAGCCGTCCCAAGAAGAATGTGTGGGGAACTGGGCAAGCCGAGGGGCACTCGCAAGCGGAGCAGGGTCCGTGCCGTCCCATGTCTGAGCACTCCGGGGATCCTGCGCCCGGACGACATCAAGCGGACGTGTCCCGGCCTCTGCAGGGGGCGTCTCCTTGGCCTCCTCCACTTGCAGGGTTCTCTGGCGTGAGCCATCCTTGCAGCACAAGCAGCTCAGCAGACAAGGTGCACCAGTTGCCCGGGACCCCGTGTGCCAAGGAAGGAGCGGCACTTTTCCGCTCCCGGCTCGCCTGAAGGGGATGTGGGGGACGAACGTCGATGGAGGGCTTTTCTTTCGAAAGATTCATCTGCGGAATGGCGTTTTTCAGTTCAGGATGGAGGGGATCCAGTTCCAGGATCTCTTTCTGGGGCACGGAATAACCGCAGAGGGACTGCAGCCCAGCCGTGCTCCTCTGCTCACTGGGGGGACGAGGACGGGGCCGCACCGGGCAGGCCTGCGAGCGCACGCTGTGTGGGAAAAGCCCCGGCCCAGCACTCGCTCCCTCCCTCTGCAGAGCCAGCCCGAGGCCTGGGAGGAGCCCAGGGCAGCACCTGGGGCTGCGCAGCCTCCCGCCCCCACCAGGGCCCCCACACCATGCCACGCATACCAGGCTTTCTCCAGGGCCTGCTGCTTCTCCCGGAGCTCTTGCTTTAGGCTCTCCACCTCCACCTTCAGCTCGATGTTCTGAAAGGCACAGACAGGCAGGGATTGGCACCGCATGGGAACCCCCTGCCTGGGAAGCCCTCCCCGCAGCTGGGGTGCTGCTCTCCGTCCAGACGCACCCCCATTATGCGCTTACCAGAAGGAGGGCCCACCGTGTCCGGCGGGATTCACTCCTGTGCAAGCACCGGCAGTGGTGCGTGTGAGGTTGAGGCCGGCTGCCTGGGCCTTTTCCCAGGCAGAGTGCGGAAAGCTGGAGCCGGAATGCTTCACTCGGAGGAAGCGGCTGCTGCCCGCCCCAAACCGAGTGACGCAGGATTGGGCCCCACCTGGATAGCGGCCGGCTGCATTTCCTGGCGAGCCGCATGCCCGACAGATGGTGCAGCGAGGATGGGCCAGGAGGCGGCTGCTCGACACCCACGGTTTCCTTGTCCAGCGGGTTAGGTTCACAGCGAAGCCCCGAGGCTGCCTGACCGCACACGTCTGGCCGCCCTCGCTTCCCCCACAGAGAACGCGCCTCTTTGCCATGGAAACGCGGCCCGGCTCCTTTGCAGTGCCAGATGCCTCCCTCTGCTGCGCCCTTTCGGTCTCGCCAGAGAAGCAGGCGGCTCTGCATGGCCCATGCAAGGAACGGGCCGGGCTTTCAGTGAACCCGACTCCCGTTCGTGGGGCACCGCACTGCAGCGCAGACCCATCTATTTTTAGAAGGACCCACAGACCTAAAAGAAAGCCTTTCCATGCAGCCTTCCCCCAGCCATTCCTTTCCCCAAAACCTCCTGGCACGGGGAGCCTCTTACGCCCCAAAGAAAGGGAAAGGCTCCATTCTAAAAAGCAGAGGCGAGGGATCTTGCTGCCTTGCCTTCGCCAGGCACACCTGTTCTGCCACGCAGCCTGCACAAACCTGCTTGTGGAACCGTCTGGCTGAATTTCCCCTCCGCCAGGCTGAGCCTGCGCTGGCAGATGGGCCTGGTAGCTCTCCTTGTTCTCCCCGCGCAAGCGCAAGGTTCACGTCGCTTCTCTGACGCCCCGCCTGCGAGGGTCCGGTGGATGCTGGCCGGCCACCACGTGCTGGTTCCCCCCAGGCAGGAAGCAGGATGGCCGCCGTGCAGAGGCATTTGCCAGGCAAAGCCACGGAAAGAGGGGCAACCCGGGCTCGGGCGAGCCGAGGGGAAGGACCCCTGCCCACCATCTCGCCTCACGCGGGGCAAATGGCAGGCGCACAGCCACACCTTTCTGGTCGAAAACCAAAACCGCTTCTTTGTGCCCAACAGAGCAGAACCACCTTGGCCCCAGGACAGTTTTGTTTGGGGAAAGCTGCTGGGACTGCACGGCGGCTGCTCTCGAACCCGCAGCTCCCTGTGCCGGCATTCCCCCTGCCCACAGACCTTCCTCTAGCCCCCCTGCCAGCCCCTGCCAGGAAGAGGCCACCACGGCAAGGGAAGCGGCCAGCCCTTTGCTGGGTGTCCAGAAGCAGCCTCGGGCTCCCGTCTCGCTCAGCCTGCTCCAGAGCCCCTGGAGGGCCACGGGCCGTGCTGGCACTTTGGCCACTGGCTCGTCCAGCCAGGGTCGGTGGCTGCTGCAGTCGGGAACACCTGGAGGGTCACCCCAGGTGCCCCCCCCCCCCCCGAGCTACAGATAGGGCTGGCCCTGCTGGTCCCTTAGGTCCCATAAGGGCTAGATCCTTTTTTAACAAGAATGCTGGGAATTGGGGCGATTCGACTCAGCTGCGGAAGCAGGTGCTCCCCTCGTCTCCCCCTGCAGACACCGACAAAGGTGGCCGCCTTACCCATGTCTCGGAGGGAGAAGCCCGTGGATTACAGGCATTCCCCTGCAAGCAACGGGGCACGAGGTGTCCGAGATGGTGGGACCGGCCAGTCCCTGGCCTGCTCTCAGAAGCGCACAGCTCCCAACGGCCCTTCCGCTGGAGCCCCCGAGGAAGGACATAAGGAAGGCGACCACCAAGGAGGGGCCTTCTCGGCTGTGGCGCCTCATGCAGGGGGCCGGTGCCCCAGAGAGGTGTGCCTGGCACCGAAACTCTGCACCAGTGGTGGCGAACCATTCAGAGACCGTGTGCCCAAACTGCAACCAAAACCCACTTATTTATCGCAAAGTGCCAGCACTACAATAAAACCTGAAAACCGAAGTTTTAGTTTAGAAAAAACACCTCACAGCCAGTCCAAGCAAATATATATATATCCTTGGCAGTGCACTGACCACCCATGCAACAGCTCGGATGATTCGCGGCTAATGAGTCGCAGCTTGTGATATCATCGCCTGGCACTGCCACTCTTTCGAAGCATGCGCATGGCCCCTGTGTGCGCTATTATCCGATGCTCGGCTGCCAGGGCGATGTTGGGGTGACTTGGCTCACATGCCGACACAGAGGGCTCTGCGTGCAAACAGTGGCACATGTCCCATGGGTTCGCCACCACTGGCCTAACCCTACGCTGCTGCACCCCCCTACCCCTAATATAGGGCTAAAGTTCTAATGAAAAGAGGGCGATTTTGAAAAAGCCTTCCTTGAGTAGCTTTTTCTGCACCGCTCAACATTTCTGCCCAATCTAAACACAGGCCAGCCATCAGAATCATGCCAGGACACCTCGTTTTCCCAACCCTAACCCTACCCTGGTGACCACCCCTAACCCTAATATAGGGCTAAAATTCTAATGAAAAGAGGGCGATTTTGAAAAAGCCTTCCTTGAGTAGCTTTTTCTGCACAGCTCAACATTTCTGCCCATTCTGAACACAGTCCAGCCATCAGAATCATGCCAGGACACCTCGTTTTCCCAACCCT